ACGCACGTCGAGTTTCAAAACAAAAGGTAAGTTGCACATTTTCTTTTTTACCGCTTAGCTTGGTTAATATGCACCAAATGTAGTAAGGTTTTGTGTGTATTTATAAATTTTTCAACCAAAAAGCGAATCCGACTGCTATAAATATGACGCGGTCAGTGCCGGCGCAGCGTGACTGTATTTGTTTCTTGCTCACGGACCGAGAGAAAAAGAAATACTAAGAGATATATGGACAGATGTATCCACAAGCGGTCTAAGTTGTTAAAGCTAAGGTGCCATTATGTGCACGCTAGTTAGATCAGCCGCGACCTGCTGCGTCCGGCCGATCGTGCTGGAGCAGCCTTGCGGACGGTGCGCGAACAACGACCGCACCACATCGTTCTTCAAAGACGCGTGTTTCGTGGAGAAACACGCAACAGTCAGCAGCCGCTGATATCGTGCGTAGGTGTCTTACGTAAAGTGCTGAGAGCAGAGCTTCGCGTTGGAGCTCGGAGTCGACGGTCTTCCGAAGTCCATCCGGTGAATGGCACCGACCCACACCTTTTGCCTCTTCCGGTCTCTTGGGAACTGGTGGAACAGCAGCTCCGGGTTGCGCACCGGATCGTTGGTGCAACCCACAGCACTATAAGTCGTGCTCGACAAAGTGAGTCCGGCGAGTCTCTCCGGCTCCACGACACGCGCGTGAGCGAGCAGCACCGTTTCGCTCTCTTCCGCGCTGTCGCGGAAGCAACAGCGCGCAAATTAACTTCCTGGACGCTAATAAAAATAGAACACAGGATAACGTGGTAAGCACCTCTTGCCGTCAGCAGAATCGCAGAATGCCGCGGGAAGCAAAGCGTCCGCGGCGTCCGTACGAAAGCGTAGGACTAAACCTACGTCATTGCCCAATGTTGCTTCACTAGCTCACCCGGTGCCAGAGTTGCTCACCCGCTTTCGGGCCGCTAACCGAGCCGGGAGAACATTTTCTTAATATTGGTTTTAATCGGTAATGCGGCGTCAGTTTGACGTGATATGCTGGGTATGACCGTATTTTGACCCCCTAAAGCGATATCAGTCATTTCGGTAGGGTCGACGTTTTGAGTGGAGCTGCCCTTTAAGAATTAGATTGCGACGCGAGCGGTCGACCGGTCGCGTCCAGTTGCGTCGCCTCCTGTAGTCCCCTTCGCACACCATAACTTCGCCGAGAAATGTTCGCGTTTCCCAAGCGCAGGGTTCGCGGCGATTTCGTCCACCTTACTTTCCAAACCAAGAGCAATGTCGTCCCAGATTGAAAATCCCAGTCGCGGGGACGCCGCCGACGTCGCGCTCACGACGCCACCAAAGCGGCCGCCACCGCGGTCCTGGGAGCCCCCATTTTCTTAATGCGAAAGCATTAACTGATTTTATGGAGCAAGCCGACGTCATCAGTTTGAAGCGCGAAAACGGCACCTAGTTTCCCTGATCCAAATTCGCGATTGGCTGGCGCGGGGCGACGAGGCTCCCATTGGCCGCTGCGCGCGTCAGTTTCAACGACCGCCGCCAGACGGTGCTGCGTGTCCGTGCAGTCAGCGCGCCGATAAAACTAACCGCCACAACCAAGGAGGTTAGAGAGGTAGGAGGGGGCATAACGGCAGCCGCGTAGCCTCCCCAAGCCATGCTTTCTTGACGCCTCGCCTCTCATTTTCCTCCTTATCCTCCTCACTTACCGGCCCAGCACTGTCGCGTGGTTGATGGGTGCGGGTAGCAGGGAGCACAGTGGCAGGGAGCGTGGTGCTTGTGGGTTTCATTTATCAGTCATCACAGCCAGAAACTCTGGCCCGCGCCCAGCCGACCGATTTCACGCCTGCTGCACTTCGTTATGCCCTCCGTTTTCTACAGGCCGTTACCTGAAAACGATAGTATTCAACGTGGAACGTCAGCACTGTAACGAAGTCTGTTTGCGTGTTTTGGTTAATGTACCGTGCATCTGTGGGGAGTATTTCCTTTATCTTCCGGCCACTAATTACTCCAGCAGCCACAGTCAGAATAAATTATATACACACATGATTGCGTTACTATGTCGACCCCACAGATTGGACCAATACTTACGCATTTTTACGGCGATGATTTCCGCGCTCGACTGCAAATGATAGCTACGTTTTTATCGCTCTTATATACATGTTTTATCACGCTACTGGCTTTTTCTTTTCGTTGCGGCCGCTATGCAGGTCATTCACTGGGACGTTTTATTGCTGCCGCGATAAATTGAATCAGCTCAACTTGACTCGAGGTTGGGAAATGTTTTATTGACAATTTTAAGTTCACGGAACACACCACGCTCCACTTCGATGGGGTCCAGCCACCGCCGCGACCAACGGCCAAAACCCATTGTTTCCGCAGTTCGGCGACCGTCGGAAATCTAAGAGAATTGTTGATCGATTCCTATTATCGTAAAACGATGTGTGTGTAATACGCCAAGGGCTTACCGGTGAAAGGTGACCCCCTCTGAAGAAAAGCCAGTCCGATTGCGGCAGCCGACCACGCAGCCAGTACCCATCCCGTAGCCGCAGGAAATTAGCGTCCCGGCCACGCCAGGCTTTCCGTTTTCTCCGTTGCAGCGATTGCCCTGATCGTCCCGTGTACCAGCAGCGGTGTGTCGTCTGCTCGTGATCCGCCTCAACCTCACTTGCACCTTTGCATTTAATTGCATTATAATCTCAACCGCTTGCTTGCTTCATGCCTTGCCTTCGATCTGATAAAACCTACCGGACGGAGCGCGCGCAAGCCTGCAAGGAATCCTTCTACAATCAACCATTCATCTCGCACGTGACATGTCACGCGCACCAATCGCCAGAGAGATCTGCGGCCACGTCGGGCACAATATTGCCGCGAGCGCAGCTGACCAAGCAGGCAGCGCGCTCGTGGCTATAACGGTTATCGCGCGTGCCTTCCACGCAGAAAGCTAGTGTTCGATTCCTGGCCGCGGGGACGCATTTTTGTTGACTCTGACGTAAAGTTCTGGTAAATTCGAGAACCGTGTTGGGGCTTGTTCGCGATCAGAATGGGGTTCTACAGGAAGAACCTTCTACGGCCGAATCTTCCAGAACCCCACGCGTGTACATAAGGGGCTCCGCGTGGCGAGCCGCAGTTAGTTTTTCGCCTCACCGTTTGATCTTGCCTCCTTCGACGCCCGCGACGCTCTGCTGTTCTTTCTTTTTCCTTGAATTATTGAGCACAAAGTTCGCCCCATTAAACGTTCATTTTACTCAGTCATTTGCCGCCTCATCACTTGTCATTCGTGACAATATCGTACAACCATTTTATGACCAGGCTTCACATATATTGCAACGTGCCCCCTCCTATTATTTATAACCTCCTTGGCCACAACCCCATGCCACTGCGGGCCCCACGTGAGTTCAAACGGACACGTTGGCGCACGCTCGGATGCTTCTGCTCCTTTCGCCGCCGACCAAAATACCGTCGCCTCCATCATCCACATCGTCGACGGTTCTTCTGCTCGTCTCGCCGCTTACGAACATGGCGCCGCCTCTAGCATCCACATCGTCGCCGGTGCTTCTGCCAAAACTCGAAAACATTTTACCATTTTTTACCACCTGAGACTGGGTGGAAAAACACGACGACGTCTCAAACGTCGTCGTGTTTTTCCACCCAGTCTCAGGTGGTAAAAAATGGTAAACTTACACCAGCTCGCCTGCGCCCTAACTGTTTTTTCGAAAACATTACTCATGAACATTCATGCTTTCGCATTCACAACTTATAAGAAGTGCTTAGGTGTCTTCCGACTTTACCTGTGCTCGTCTTGGCTTCAGCCAACTTCTGACCATGAATTCCCCATGGAGGAGCACAAAGACTCTTTGCGTGCCCACGCAATTGTCAAAAAATAGCGCACACAAATCGCAAAACGAGGTTATCGTTCGGCGCATGCACAGTAGCGACGATATTCTTTCCGTACGCAAAGCTTAAGCGCGCGCTATTCTTAAACTACCTAGTAGCACCTACAGTGGCAATGACCTGTCCCGCTGTGGCAGCGATGAAGTGAAGCGAACGGAATAGGAGGAAGCAAAACCTGAAGGTACGTTATGGCGGCGCCCATGCACAACTGCTTGAAAGCGTCTACCGTATTTACTCGAGTAATAGCCGCACTGTTTATCAAGAAAACCAGAAGATACGCTTTTCCGCGGAGCACGAGGATTGCCAATCACCGTGATCTACAGCATGATTCCAGCTGTTTACAGGACAGAGATAACGTCTTCGCGCGAAGGAACCATCTATGAATATTGCATTTGTATGGAGAATCGTGTTCTCGATCCGGTTATCCTCCATCGTATTCACGCGCAACGCAATGATTGGCCGTGTATGTGTTATGTGAGAAAGTAGACGCAAGGGTGTTCTTCATAAATAGTGCGGCTATTACTCGAGTAAATACGGTATACTCCGTTCTCCCTTAAGCTGAGACTAGAAGCTCCGCCTTCAGCGCGAGCTTTCTTCCCTTGCTAACACAAGCGTGAACGCGCACGCACGCGCGACCAAACCACTGCGGAAGCCAACAAGCTCGCGCTAAAATGAAGGCGGAGCTTCTAGTCTCGACGTAAGGGTAAACGGAGTGTAGGACTGTGACATAACCCCACGATCAGGGGATCGTAGATGCTAAAACATTACCACTCGTAAAAGAAAAAGAAAATCATGCTCTCGAAGGCGGTTTGCTAAATGCTAAATAAAAAGTTCTTTAATTTGACAGTAGCTTTACAGTTGTGCAGAACAGAAAAAAATGCAGTTATAAACCGTCCAAAAGGACGTTTTATGACGACATGAACCAAAGGGGCATGCGCCTTAATATACGTTTCTAGGTATACCACACACTAGCGTTACAGCCAGAGGCGCCCGCTTTGAAGAACAACTATGTTGGAGCTTCCAAATGCTCGACCAGAGTCACGTTCTTCATGGGCAGCGTTTGGATTACGAGCTGCGAGGAGGTGACGAACGTTTTGATCGTCTGCGAGCGCCTTTCCGCCTGCTTTCCTCCCCGTTACGCGACAATGCAGAGCATGCGTCTTTGCGACCAATTGTCGAGGAAGTTTCCGCCATTCAATTGCAAACGCTCCCCACGGTTGGAGATTACCCCTCTCTATGATCTACAACCTAGACGGAAGAATAAAAAAAAAGCAATAAAATCTTCTCTGTGCCTGAAAAGCGAAAAAAAAAGGTTGATCGATCTCCTTGTCTCGAAACGGATTACGTACCTGCAACGAACCAATGAACTACAAAATAACTTGCAGAACGTACTGACCGCCAAGGAGCGGCGCTGTAATCTGCACTGGGCTCTAGACAGCTTAGGTTAAATTTGAGAGCGGAAGCAACTGAACCCATGGAGGTCCGTTGCAATTCAATGGCGGACGCCTCTCACGCAAATTGGTCTCAGGTGCGCGTGCGTTGTGTTGTCGCGGGACGAGGAGCAAAGAGGACGGAGAGAGGCGAAGGCTCTTTTCACTCCTCCTGGCAGCTTGTTTCACATACGCGGCTCATTACCCAGGTGACCCCTACCGAAACAGCAGGAAACATTCTGTACCCTAGGCATCTACTGGGTTCTAAGCTTTCCCAATAGCCCGGTTCCGGTAGACGCGTGTGGTCCGGCTTCCAAGGGCGAGTTTCCCAACTGACTTGTTCTAGTAACGTTGTCACGCGCACACGAAGAAAAAGAAATTTTGCTCCCGTAGTAGAAGTATCTGCGAGGCTCAAGGAAGGCTGGCAACACTACGGAGTCATCCCAGCCACCTCCTGAATCCAGGGCAGTTGAGTAGAGACTCTCGCGAAAACGGTAGGTGTACTTGGGGCAGCGCACTTGAGACTCCACGACGTGATCCCGGCAAGCACGAAGCGGCCGTCGGCACTGGGACACTGCAAAGGTCCCCCGGAGTCGCCCTGCAAGATTGGAATTCCAGGAGTTTTAATCCGGAACGCATGTTCCTCTGCTTTTTGCACAGGGGTTGCTATGATGTAAGAACCCCAAACTCTCACTGGCTGATTGAAAAAAAATAGTTGGTACATCGTGAGGCATCTATAGCATTGGGGTCTACCCACTATTCTTTCAATCAAAGCCAATCAGAACTCGGCGTCGTTCTGACGTCACCGCAACCCCTGCACAAAAAGCAGACGACTTGCTTTTCGAATACACCAGCTCAACTTTCTGACGTCACGCCGCTGCAGTGGCGCTGCCGTGACGCTTCACGCGAATCTGGTTTCTGGGTACGCGCATTGGTCGTACCTGGTGTGCGCAGACGCGGGCTTGCTTGTAAGCAGCGTGGCCTCAGGGCGCCGCCATCTTGCTCGCATGGGGGGCGCTTGAGCGCCGTCATAATCCGATTATGACAATTTGCTTAGCAAGGCGTCGTAATCGGATTAAGGCTGCGCTCAAGCGCATCCCAAGCGGACAAGAGTGCGGCGCCCGGAAGCCGTACTTGCCACGGCTCTGAGTCCAGATTCACGAAGAGCTTCTTAGGTTACGATAACTTAGCTAAGAAGTTTGTAAGTTAAAAACATGGAAAGAAGAGGAGAAATCGGTATTCACGAAAGGGGTTCTAAGTGAGAGGAGGAAAGTGACGTTCTCGTATGAAAAAACTATAGAACTTCGGGTGTGCCGCAACCTCCCGATCGCCGCGAGAGCGAACTGTTGCTATGGCGACAGCGTCTTCGGCAACACTAGCAACCAATCGGAGAGCTCGGCATGGTTCGGAACAGTTCAGAGCACGTGGATTTCAAGCACAGGCGGCCTTACCGCCACCGCTTGTCTGGGGTTCCTGTCCGTGCAGTGATATGTCGACGCTAACGCGATTTAAACGCGCCCGAATGCCGAGGCCGGGATAACCGCCTTCGTCGACTGCTACGAACTCGATCGCTACGAAGTAAACATATTTACTATGTTGAGACTTAAAGAAATAAGAAAAATGTTGTGTCTCTAGTCCGCTCCGGCTTTCGCACCGCAGACATAAAGCCAATTTACAGTAAAATGAACTGAATCCTTGGATCAAGTGGAAATTTCTTGGAAATGCCGATTGGAAATTAATGGGAAATAAAGGAAACCACCAAACTGCACAGCCAGTGGAACGGCCCAGGAAAAACCAGCCGGTACTAAAAGCACCCCCGATGCCCGACTCACTGTCCGCCTCCGCTACTAAGACACGAGTGCGTCTCACAACGGGTCCGACGGTCACTGTATGGCAACCATGAACCACACAGCCCCGTCGCAGTGATCACTTTTATATCCCTCGGCTCCCCTGGAGACCACCCCCCGCCATCCTGCGGGGGCGCCTTCCTACTTGGGAAGATACGAGGGTTCCCCACTTTTATGTAAGACCTTCAACTTGTATGGATGCCTCGTCTCGGATCACCACGCAGCGTCCCACGTCCCGCGTCACATGTCTCTCATGTCACCCACTCCACGTCCTACTCCCCACATGTCAACACGCTTCACGTCTCACTTCCATTCCTTTTCAGTTCCGGTCGTCACACGCCATGCGCCCACACATTTGGGTCGTTCCACGTCATGCGGGCTCACGCCGTCCCCACGTCTCACGCCACACGTCACACGCCGCGCTCCCCGCCTCAGGGGCTCCGTCCTCCAGCGGTGAAAGCTAGGGTTTCCAGCCCCTTTATGTCCCCCCCCCCTCCCCCTTCCACATAGGGAACCCCAGTGCTAGGGTGCCCCACCCCAGGTGGGGGGAAGCGAAGTCAACACAGCCGTCATCATTGCTAAAAGAAGACGGCCCGTGCCAGTCGTTTGCAAAACGGCGCAGATAGGAACTAATCGCCGCGGCGTTTTCGAGGCCTCGGAGATGCTGGAGGGAGCCGACGTTGAAAGATGATGCGTCTGAGCTACGAGAGTGTTATCAAGAGCCACATAAATACCTGTTCACACTCAGAGCGGACGCGCGCGTTTGATCGAAGTGTCAGAATCGTGCTGTTCGACTGCGTCTTGTGTAAGCGCTTCGGGACCGATCTTTTACGATTGCAACTTCATACTGACGTGACACTCGGCAAAGGAAAGTTGGAGCTGCATCCCGTAGCTCCCACAAACTGTTATAACTGGACAGTGACGTACCGTCGTGTCGGAATAAAAATAGCATACTAATAACAAGGTATAGACGCTTTGCAGCAGCTGTGCGTGGACGCCGCCATAACTGACCTTCAGTTTTTGTTTCCTCTTATTCCGTTTATTTCACTTCATCATTACCATAGCAGGCCAGGTTATTGCCATATTAGATTCAACTGTGTCCTTTTCTAAAGCATCGGCCTTTGTAGAGGATCGTCAACTGACCTCTTAATCTAAAATTGAGGTCAGCGATCAAACTAATCCGGGAAGGGTCCACAAGGACCCTTCCCGGACTAGGTTATTCCATACCTGCACTCGGTGTCACACAATTTAAAGAAAGTGTCCCAGCGTTTAAATGTGCCTGTGGTTTTCTCGGCGCCCAATCGGATGGTCCGACTTTGCCGTAAAATCAATTGTTCCGCTCAACAGAGTGATCTTTGCAGCAAAACGCACAAAAAAAAATTTGCCGAGTGTGCCTCAGGAGTTGTGTGTGAAATCCCTCTGTCATGCAGCGCTGTGTACATTGGCCAGACGGGCAGATGTGTGAACGACCGCGCCCGCGAGCATGCGGCTGCCACGCGAGCCAGCCCGTCTGGCCATCTCGCCATTCATTGTAATAGATGCCCGTGTACGCCAGTCCTACATGACATTAAGATTTTGGCTCGTTATCGCGACCGAACAAGCAGAGAGGTGCACGAGGCGTATGCAATTAGGGATAAGGGCGTTGAGTGTGTAAGTGAAGCGTCACTCGCCCTGTCAAAGAGTGAGTTTGAATATTTGAAAGAAGCGTTGCGAGGGGCGCGCTGATGACTGACAGGGTTTTGGGGCCTATAAATGCATGTACTTTTCGAAATAAACCACAGTTGCGAGTGCGCCTTGTGTCGTTCCACTTCTTTGTCCTTGTTTTTTTTTCGGCGCTTTTAATTACTTAAAGAACCATGAACCAACTGACTCAACTTTCCACTTTGCTGCAATTTATTTCTTTTACAACGAGCTCTTTTATTTGTTCCCCCACCCATCATCAGTCGGTGTATCCCATAATCAACCTAATTGCTGTGTCGCGCTGCCGGGCTAGGATCTATACGTATGCCATTCGACGTGGATGCTTCCCAGTGGACGTTATTGCGTTATTTCATGGAATACAGCCGTCCATCGGCCACGCCAAAAGAATATGCCGAATCGTACGCTCTGAATCTTGGAAACAGGTAGAAAGATACAGAGACTGCTTGAGGATCCGTTGCTACTACGGGGGTGTTGCGACGCAGGCAGCCGAGAGGGCCTACAAGGGTCACCTGCGGACAGCAGCAGAGTACACTGAAGTTCTGTGGCAGCAGGCAAGAGCGTCGATACCAAGAGCCCAAAAACGCGGCAACATACGACAACCACAGGTGTCTCTTCTCGGAGGTGCGGTCCTGCCATCAAACATTGAGGCAGCCTTGGAAAAAGGTCCAAAGTTCTGCAGAGAACCCAAACTGCGTCCTGTTGCCAAGCTGTCCTTGGTGAGAGGGATGGCGGAGAAAGCCACCCCTGAGGACAAGGAAAGGTGCGTCGCGGACGGCGTCGACGTTCTTCGGCGCCTGCCAGGTCAACCGATGAAAGGATGGAATAACACGCACATCATCGACTACTTCAAGGACAACGACCTGAAGCTGCTAACTTCCGATAAGGAAGGTGGCTTTGTGGTTGTGACGCAGGACATGTTTGCTGAAAGGTCTCAACAAGCAATTCTCAAGAACTTCAAAAAAGTGAGCCCGGGTTCCTTGTCTAAGGTTAAGGCCCGCGCAAGGGAGCTTTGTGGTGATTTGAACTTGGCCGGGTTGCAAAAGAGCGTGCCATCTGCCACCGGTCTACATCTGAACATTTTCTTTTCTGCCAAAAAAGCACAAAATTGGGAACCCATTTAGAGCGATTGTAACAGAAAGGGGCTCCTGGCAGGTACACTTGTCTAGCTTCCTCAGCAAGCACTTGTCAACATTGAAGCTGTACGATCCTTTTTTGGTGCGAAACTCGGAGAGCGTTATTGAATTTCTGGAGGAAGGAGCGCGGGGATTTCAAAGTGCCTTTTCGGTGGATGCCGAAGATCTTTTTTATTCTGTACCGCATGAGCCACTCTTTTGTGCGGTTAGGAAATGTATCGAAAAAAAACGGAGAGGTGACGTTTTGTTCCTCTAGTGGCGTTAGCGTTGATAGTTTTCTTGAACTTTTATCTTTTTTATCTTACGCATATACGTATGTTTGAAGGGGACTTGCACGTTCAGAAGAAGGGCATTTGCATTGGGTCGCGTGTGGCGCCGGTTCTGTGTGACATTTTTTTAAGCAGTTGCGACAACGCCATCCTAGAGAAGCTAGGTTGCGATGGAAAAAACAGGATTTTTAGATACGTAGATGACTTTCTTATTTTTAGTGAGGCACCCGAGGCATCGTTAACAGAAGCTGTATCTGCGATTATGCGTATCTTCGGTGCTTGCGCGGGCGGTTTGACTTTTACCTTTGAGACACCCACTGAGGGGAAGTTACAATTTTTAGATATTAAACTAAGTTTTTTACAAGACCATATATCTTGGACTTATGAACCGAGATCCAAGAAAGCGATCCTGCCATTTGAGTCGGCTCACTCTAAGTTAGTAAAGAGGGGTATCGCCAAAACGTGCTTGGAGGCCGCTCTCAAGAAGTCTTGCGAGCATTCCGTTCAGGAAAGTTTCGCGCGACAGATCACAAAACTGCAAGAAGCCGGCTTTCCGCAAAGGTGCTTAACTGAGGTTGCTGAAGGCCTGGTAAAAAAGATAAAAGGAACGGGCAAACCCGCCCTCGAGAGACCCAGTATGAGGCCAGC